GAGAACAAAAATTTAAATAACAAAAATAAACATATAAATAACTCAAGATACGTGAACGACTCTGTGAACAAAGAAGACTAACTTGGTTCCAACAACTAATATTTATGGTTTCCGTAATAAAAATTAGAAAAATCCTCTAAAATAACATTCTATATAAAAAATATGTTTTGTCAAAATATTGAGAACTTGAAATCTAAACTAAATTTAGAATCCGCTACAGTAACTGCGGGAACAATTTGACTTAAATGTTTCTGTGGCTGTTTTTGCCATTTGTGAGTAGTTTGAATTTTCGTGTTTTTTTTGTGTCGATGACTTTCTGCAGCATATGAATAAATGAATTATCAATAAGATGTTTATTACAGAGAAGATCTTTTAAAGGCAGATTTGGCAAACTGACTGCGGCAGGTCACAAATTGAGGTCACAATTCAACTGCTCAAGATATTTTTGAAAAAATTGTTTTTAGAAAATGTCCGTACAGAGCTCATTTTCAGATTGCTGATCAACGGTCACAGACGATGATAACTCAAAATACGAAAAAGTTTCAATATTGAACGTAAAATCGTAGTGTTTGCAAGCACGCGATCAGTGGCTCACCGCAAACATTTCTGAATGGTTAAAAGAAGCGTAACTCGCGTACACCACGTCAACGGTTGGCGCCAATCATAGATAATCCGAAGAAAAATTAAAGTGAATTGTCACAACCCAAAATCAAGGCATTTCTTGCCTACTAATACTAGCAGGACTCTTTTATTTGATGGAAACGGTTCAACAATATGTAAAAATAAGTCGGCAACAGTTAATAGGCTGGAAACCCCTGAAACATAAAAATAGGCAAATAATGAGAATTTTGTGGAAGGCTATGTAAACCTACGAAATGGTTCTGATCAAAAATTTAATGAGTTTATTTGGAAAGATTTATTATATTTATATGCTAAAAAGCATGTGCACTAATTAGACTCGCCGCTTGTATGTTTGTTTAAATGCAAATCTTTGCTGCCTTCAACGTTGACTTAAATGGCATGTACAGCACTCTGGACATACCATTAAACAGAACTCAACATTACCTTGCTCTAATTGCACGTAACGACTCTCCCGAGGCAAAACTAAATACATATTTAAAGCTGCAAGATTATTTCAAATGAGCTAACATACCATGCGAGGGAGAGCGGCAACGAAAGTTACCGCGCTTTTAGTTTTAGTACACTTGTTCCAACTCTGTGCCGAAGACCTAATTATGATATTATATAGGACCTTTACCAATTACAAATTCTCGTTTAAGCTCCGAGAAGCAATTATCACCGGTCGCGGTATTACGCAAATGAGCGAAGTTCCTAAACATCTTCTCCTTCCTGTCGGGAATGCACAACAGGAGAGCAATATGCAGAGTTTAAGTGACTTTGCCTGCACCAGACATCGGTTTTTGTGTCGTATTCGCCAGCAACAAGATAGAGTTTTGATGAGATCTTGTCAACTTGATTGCCGACCAAGTATTACCCAATCAAGTTAATTAGTTTCAAAAACATGGCTTATAATTAGCTGCGTACCGCTTCAGTAAACAGTCATCTGAAAATTTATAGTTGTTTAACTTGGAAAATGTGGTGTACCGTTTATTGCACTTGATTTTGTTTCATCAGACCACCGATCATTGTTTTTGCTCATGAAATTGGATGTTTTTGATATATTTTTAGATAGCCATGATCTTATTTTCTATGAGATTCAACAACGTTTTTAATGAATTTAATAATAATTAGAGATTCATAAATTTTTGTATTTCAAGCATAGTAAGTTATATTATTGATTTTCGTCGCAGGCTTGAATATATAGGCAACATATTTATAAAAATTCGCTCATGTTTGCGATGCCAAATATAGCGCGAATCAATGATTGCTGTTGCCAATTCCATCATAAAACAAGTTATTTATTTCTCGAGTAATCGTTCCATGAGCTCAATCCAACCGAGTCTTGCGAATGTGTTGAATAGTAAACACTTTAATACTACGATTTTTTCTTTATTGCACAGGGTATTTCAGTAGAAGACATGCATACCTCAAAATGGCATGAGATATTAAAGCTAAAACATAAGTACAAGGAACTATGGCTGGAACATAACGCTTCGTCGAAAATTTTTGAATGTTTTGAGTATGTATTTGTATGAAAAACAGTTATTGGTATTTTAATGCATGACGGACGTGACCGAGGATACCGCATAACTAATTGCACTGTTACTTAAAATAACAAAAAATAGGAAACTTAATTAACAAAACATTACTAGATTACATCTGACTACTAACAGTTTCAAGAAAAGCTTTGATTCATAACTACCACCGGTAACTTGGTTATACTTCTTAAGTCAAACGTAAATAAACAATATGTATACACAGCAATAAAATAGAGTCTACTTGGTTGTATTCTGTATTAGAAAAAGAACCGACAAATTTCACTGTTTTTATTTCGCGAGAGCAACGCATTTTTCAATCAGGGATTAATTTTTGTAAAATACTCGACACCTTGAAAAATCAAAAGATCTCACTTAAAATATAGTGTACAATTTATTATCCTATTTAATTACAACCAAGAACATTTGATCTACTCTTGCTCCGTCCAAGATTGTTAGCCGAATAAAACATGTTCCGTTATAGAATGTAGATAAAAATATAATATACCTGTCCTCCGGAAACACCCTGTAGATAAAATATTTTATGCAAGCAGTACAACCTTCCAAGGTGAGACCAGTTACTTAAAAAAAAACCGAAGTGAACTCCAGATATTGTTATTGTTTGATAGGTAACTTCTCCATTTAATAATAACGGATCATTTCTTATACTTTTGCAATTTTTTCAACTCAACTAACAAAGAAGAGAAAAATATAACATCTGATGATTCGGTAGTGATTATTTAAAAATTACTCTATTTTGCATTAATAGATATTATTTGATATCTCAATTGCACAGCGCTAAAGGCGACTACGAGGTAAAATAAAATAAAAAAAATTAGATAGGAGTTGGCCATAACAACTGTGCCAAGCAAATAATGCCCGACAATACTAGGGAATACATTTATTTTTCATTTATTTCGAAAGCAGCTAGGGATTATTGCATGTGTATTTTCATCTGAATATTCATCGAAGTGTTACACATTAATAATTTTTCATTGCGTGAAACATGTTTGGCTCGCAAAAAATTAAACTCAAATATGTAAAAAATCCAATCCCTATATTTGGATCGTTGTGAAAATTCAATGATTTTCTGCAATATAAGAAATTGAATGTTCCTTGAATGTTAAAACAGGGTAAAAATAGCTTTGTTGATCTGCAATATTGGCCCAAACCTCACTAACTGTAAATATTCGGAAGAATTGTGATATAAAAATCGACTTATGGTAGGCTCCGTACAAGCACCTGTTAGATGTCGCCTAATTAAGAAACATTCTGAACTGGTGTTGAAAGTGTTTAACATTTTTTCCTATTTGCATGTTGATTAGCAAAACCTTTGTTAATATTCATATAGACTGTATTACTCCCACTATTTCTGAATGTCCTTTTTTTCTGTGAATGATGTATAAAAATGCATGACTTATTCAATGGTTCAATTGCATTTGCATTTTTTGCTTTTATAAAACTGCATTGATACCTTTAAAGTTATGTAACTAACTTGGTGTCTACTGACGCCGCATTTGTTTCTTATTTCAAAGTTTTATTGCTTCTAAACATTGGGATTGGCCAGGCGAGCAAATTGGTCTATAGAGGCACATTTTAAATACGTTTTTCTTACTGAATCCTTAGTTATAAATTTGAGCTCGCTGTTTTCACGGCGATTTTACCAAAACTGTCTCTTAACAGAAGCTTCCACTGATTTGGAAACTTTACAAAGTGCATATTTGCAATTGAGACCATGTTGAACTCTGATGAAAGATAATGTGAACCTCGAATACAATGCGGACCCGCCAAAATACAGTTTTAAATAATTAATGAAAATTTATCATTTTGCTTGGTTTTAAAAATTTAGCAGATGCTTCCAGTTTAAACATCGCCGCTCATATGTTTTCCAAGCCTGTTTTTATCTTAAGTGTTTCCTATTTCCAACCCAACCGCTAATACCCCTGAGGTTTAGTCCGAGTACCAGTAGTTAGAATTTATGAGTTTGGATAATTGCCTTAGAGCACTTAGAGCCATAAACGATCCACCTTCATCGTAAAAATTACCTCAACAGCACGTTCAAACGAACGGGAACCTGCACCATTCATAACTTCCTGGATTTGAATAAAAATCCCTTGGAGATCATTTTAAACGTTGTCTTTAAAATTGTCGTAAACAAAATTTTTTTTATTGAATATTTTTATGTTGTGTTTATTTATTAATTTATGTGCTGAGCAAAACAAGCGGCCCTCAGAAAAATGAAAAAATATGTTAAAATATCCACAACCGAAAAATAAACCACTCTAAACTGTATTATCTGTTCTGCAATAGTCATGTCGTTCAATCGAACAGCAATCTCTGATACGGGATGTGATCGAACACAACTATTCGCATTATGAATCGAATTTACAATATTTGCACGTAGCCCTGTCGGAAGAACAGACGGTCCCGGACTCATTAAACTCTATCCTGTGGGATCTCAAAGTATTGCTGGAATGTCGGCTACCTTAAGAACAGTAGAATGGAGCACCCAACACTTGCAGGATTCGTTATCCCGTTCAGGACTATACACGTGCACTGACCTGCATACCAATAAGATGGAATAAAAGGAGATGGAACAGAGGCGGGCTTCATGCTGGAAATAATGGACTTAATCGATCTAGATAACAACAGTAAATGGAAATAATTTTCAAAATTGAAAGCGATAAATTCAGCAGCAAAAATGTAATAGGTTTTTGTTAGCATTTGTTTCATGAGTTATTCATATTAATTAATATTCGTTTTAAATCGGTTAATAATGTGGATTATTCAAAGTTATTTTTTCTTGTTGAGACAAGTTTTATTATATATACATTTTTGTTTCAGAGCCAATAACGGAAATTCTCGGCAGTCCGGAGTTACACATAGATATGGAATCAACAATTAATCTGACCTGCATAGTTCAATATGCCCCCGAGCCACCCCCATCAATAACTTGGTCACATAACTCGCAAGTTATTAATTTCGACTCGCCCAGAGGAGGAATAAGCTTAGTTACCGAAAAGGTAGGACTTGCAAAACTTTAACAACCAATTATTCATATAAGCTAGAATTTCTTCAAATCAGGCGCTTTTAGCCGATCTTTGCCATGCAATATTCAAATCACACCTTAAAACAACGTGCGAAAAAGAATGCTGGAAAAACAGACCAGCCGAAATGTTTAGCTCCAACAAGTTTTTTTTTTCGTGCTCAAGAACATCGTAAAAAACTTTTTACTTAAAAGCTGTCGGATAATCGGGGGCAAAAACTTTTGCTCCCGCCTGATAAAAACACTATTCAAATCGCAAGCTGACAAAAACTCGAATCTGTTGGATATTCACATGAAATATAGACGTAAACATCGATATTCGCTTTATTGGTCGGCTTGCTACTTTTTATGGGTATAAAACATGCTCATAAAGGCAGCTCCAATGAAATTATACCAAATATGGGTATGAAAAAAAGATCTGTAAAAAATTTTGAATAAGAAAAAGTTTTTGAAAAGTGCTGTATTTTTAATCGATCATTGATGTTTCATTTTGCTTGTTTCTTTTCCCCTCTTTTAACATCGGCAATAAAATTCCAAGTTTAAAATGTTTTATCATTTTCTTGCCAAACGCAGAAGAGCCAACCCTAGCCCGTTAAAAACTGGCAAGAGATTAATATTTATGATAAACATTGGTAAATCTAGAAGATGCGTTTCGATTTGTAATGGTAATCTTCTATTGTTTTTGTTCGAAAGAAATCGCTCTCATTTACTGAAACAACTTGAACTCAATTTCTTTTTCGAACGGATAAGCGAACCTCGTTCCAGTTATCCGGAATGAAAATATTTATAGAGATATTCTGTTAGCGGAGCAAATTGAAATCATGATCTTGCGGATGAAAATATCGGTTAACATAAAGTTTATTAAAACTCGTGAAATTATTGATGCCTATAAACCGAACAATCTGCTATATTTTCACACCGAGATAATTCATAGAATCTCCGAGGAAAATTTTACGAAAACATCGGTTTGATTGAATAGGAAACGCAAAAACATTATTTCTCTTCTTCTCAGTTCTCGAAAAATTCAACAAACAAATCACAAATACCAAACATTTTTTGTTTTGGGTAAAATTTACATTAATCTACGAGAATCGACGTGAAAAATAA